ACACATCTTAACAGTTATTAGTGCAATGAATCATCTCCTTAACTAAAATTTTACTTGCTAGAAATTTAACATGTTAGATTTTAAAAATTGTTTTATTCAGATATAAGCTCTAAAAACACACTTCAACTTTATGGCATTCCACAGTCCTAAGATTTAATTATAGGTTATACACCTATCACACCATCCCAGGTTCCAAATTTATATTAAATGTAAATAGTTGTTTGTTCAAGGGGCAAAACTAGTATTTCTTATGAAGGGAATGTGATTTGATCACTATCCCTAAATCCATTAAAAATTAATAATGTTAGGGGCGCCTGGGTGGCGCAGTCGGTTAAGCGTCCGACTTCAGCCAGGTCACGATCTCGCGGTCCGTGAGTTCGAGCCCCGCGTCAGGCTCTGGGCTGATGGCTCGGAGCCTGGAGCCTGTTTCTGATTCTGTGTCTCCCTCTCTCTCTGCCCCTCCCCCGTTCATGCTCTGTCTCTCTCTGTCCCAAAAATAAACAAACGTTGAAAAAAAATAAATAAAAAAAAAAAAATTAATAATGTTATAATGAGGTTCCAATGTACAACACCACATTATCTGACCCGTCAACACTCAAAGAGTTTTATATTTTCCTTCAGAAACTTCTCAGGCTGTGATGGGTTTCTAAGAAGCCTACTTCCAATTTCCTCCTCTGAGTTTTTCTCTTGCTAGCTTTCTTGTTCTTCACCCTATCCTCCCTTGTCCCTCTCTATTATTAAAAATCTGTATCAGATCTATCTTCTCTCCACCAATCTTCTTACTCTTTCCCTTAACAGTAATTAGAATTCATTTCAAAATGACTTTTCAAGTATGCTCCAATTCCAACCTAGAACAAGTCCAAATTCTGAAAATAAGGGCAGTTCACTGCCTTCCTCTATAAAGATGAAACCAACAGTCAATACTACGGCAACTAAAGAAACCTCAGGTTCTAAGAATTTGGAAAAAAATAGACTCATACCAGAATGTTGACTAAAAATTAAGAGGAGATACATGAGGCCAATAAGAGAAAAAAATTAAAATGTAGAATCCTCAAAATCTTCACAACTGGCTTTTTTATTTTTAAATAAATTCTTTAAATTCCAGAAAATTTAGAATTATGACAGGGAAGGAGAGGAAACTACCAATCTCATCAACTCAGCCCAACTATTATTTAAATAGTATCTTCCAGGGGCGCCTGGGTGGCTCAGTCAGTTGAGGATCCGACTTCAGCTCAGGTCATGACCTCACAGTTCATGGGTTTGAGCCCCACATCAGGTTCTGTGCTGACAGCTTGCTCAGAGCCTGCAGCCTGCTTCGGATTCTGTGTCTCCCTCTCTCTCTCTCTGCCCCTCCCCTGCTCGTGCTCTGTCTCTGTCTCTCAAAAATAAATAAATGTTAAAAAAAAAAATTCAAATAGTATCTTCCAATATTTTCTCATATGCACATTTTATAAAACCAGCATGCACTATAACATTTTTATCGTTATCCATTTATATGTATATGTTTTATCATTTTAAATGACATGGTGAAATTAATTACTCTATTCTCTGCCTAACTAAAATTACTTAGGATGCCTGGGTGGTTCAGTCAGTTAAGCCTCCAACTCTTGAGTTCAGCTCAGGTCACTATCTCAAGGTCATGAAATGGAGCCCATGGAGCTCCATGCTCAGTGTGGGGCCGGCTTGATATTCTGTCTTTCCCTCTGCCCCTCCCCGGCTTGTGTGTACATGTGTGCACACTCTCTCAAAAAATAAATAAATAAACATCTCACTCTTGTTACACATTTGATGGGTAGCTTCCCTCTCTCCAGCATTTTAAATAACATGTCAACAAATATCTCTCATGGTTGGTAGAATTTGATTTTTCTTTTTCACTGCAATTTTTCTTAATGTTATACTGCTTTTATAACAAAAGGAAAATGTCATAACCAATTTGTGGAGCATAAACATATACAACACAAAGGATACAGTGAAGCTTAAACACATTTTCAACAGTGAATCAAGTAAGACATAAAACAAGTTACTTGGAGTACACTTCCACCAGATACTATTATTTAGGCCCCCTACAAACCAGTCAACATACGTAGCAGATGCAATGAAATCTAATTTATTTGTGTATATTTAAAGTATAAGCATATATAACCTAACTTAATTGGGAGTTTAAAAAAAAAAAAAAAAAAGACAGGGAGTTGGGCAGGGGGCTGAGTCATTCATGTAGCAACCATCTGACGAGCCTGATGGGAACACTAAGGCTGCTGGGACTTTAAGTATATACTTCCGTTCAGGAGCTCCATTAGTGAGGTTTGGCTCCAGGAAAACAGCTCATTCCTTGAGAGTTGCTTCAGAAACTGGTCCAGAAAGAGGAGACTGGTTGCTCTGAGAACCATGAAACAAGCACACTAGAAGGATTCAACATGCTGTGACTCTTAGGAAACTTGATGAATAGTAAAGTATATGAACATTATATTTAACACTGCAAACTAGAATAAATGGGAAGGTCAAGGCCATGGTATCAAGTAAGACAAGAAACTATGCCATATCTTGTACATTTTCCACTATTTTAGATTATTGAGCCTCTCTGCATTAATCCCTTTCCATCCATGTATTATAGAATTCACTTCCGTATTCCTTTTTAACAACCTTCAGAATTTCAATTCTAATATTTTAAATTATTCCTGTTAGAGGTAATCAGAAAAAGAGAGCAAGGGATTGGAAACAGAAGGGGAAAAGTAAAATAGAAGGCAAAACAGGTGTTTGCAAGTGAAGCCCTGAGAAGGACAAAGGAGCTAAAGAATTTAACTACAGGGTTACGTTCTTGGGAGTATTAGCAGTTAAGGGGTATAAATGTACACAAAGGGAATTAAAAGACTAACATTAACAGCTATGGCATGAAACTGTCAGAGGCATAATTAAGGCCTTAACCTGGGAAGAGAGAGTATTTGAATAACAAGGTTACTGAAGACTTATTTTCACTCTAAAAAACCAATTTACTATTTCTGTAGAATCATGATTCCCAGAAATAAGTAACTAAAATCACAAAATCAATAAAGTATTAGACATTTAGATAAAGGATCAAATTTTTAAGCCTTAGTATACATATTCTCTGCAAAGCCAAATCAAAGTATAACCAACCTGTTCAAACTATGGGGTTCCTGAAGTTTCTAGCAAGCAAACAACGGTAAAGAGAATCATATAGCAACCATTACACCACCCAAAGTCACCATTTATCTTATTGACGTGCTGTCATCTTACTTGAGTGAATGTTAACTGCACACACACACATACAAACACACACGTTCAACTATGACCTAAGATATTTAGGGTTTAACCACAAATCCTCCTACCATGGGTACTGTAAATAACTAACAATAACAGTTAAAGAGGGGTTACCATTATTCGTGTTTGATAACAAAATATAAAATAGTAATTTTATTTATCTTTTTTAAAAATATATATGACAAAATACTTGCCTGGATAGCAACATTTGCCAGCTCCTACCTTTACTGCTCATCTATTCAAATAAACTCCTAACTCCTTTTTTAGAGAATGAGCCCCAAATCTCAATGAAAGAAAAAATTATACCAACTTCATAATAATGTTCAACTTCCATTTGTCCTGCTCACTACTGAGATTTTATTAAGTATTCAATTTGCTTTTTTAGAACAGAGAATAGTTTCGGTGCATGATTTTCAAGCAATTTGTGGTTCTATTGTATTTTTAAACATGGCTAAAATGTCAATTCTATCTGCTTCACATAATACACTCAATACCATATATGTGCTAGGGAACTACATTAACGTAACCAGTAACACTAGCAGACTCCTATAGCTGTTAGCTCCCTAAAACAAACCTTCTGCTTCTCCTGTTTGAACACACTGAGTCCCCTGGGGTCATTCTTCGTATTATAACTGGCAGGTGTTGGAACTGTGTTGTTGATGCTGCTCATTGAAGCGACAGCCGGAGCAGTCCCTGGTGGAGTTATACCCTGAGGTAGCATGGGAAACATATTCTCAGATTCACAAACTGACTTCTCCTGCATGGTACTGGGAATGACTAACAGAGAAATCATTAGGCTCTAAAACATTCACATTTTATTCTATAAAAATATATTATGCATTAAGATAGAACACTAATAATAACTATGTTAAAGCAAAAAATACAAAAGTTTCTGAACTAGCTTTTTATATTATTTCCCAAAGAAAATTACGTAAGATCAATTTGCATTATACTAATTAAATGTATAATCCTTATTCAATTTATGCTCGCCTCATGTTGTCCTAAAATGAATACCTTCTAATTTTGCACTCTTAATTTTCATTGCTAATCAATCCTTGTCAATATTTGAAAAACAAGCACTTGATATTTTCTTACCTTTGGTGACACTCAGCCTGAACAATTTTAAATTAAATGAATTTTTCCCCTTGAGGTTCATAAAATTTATTTTATAAACTTGTCCTGTACTCAACACCCACCCACACACCCACCCACACACACACACACACACACACACACACCCTTCCCAGAACCAATAAACAAACTTAAGGATGCACCTAACATTCCGGTTTACCAGTATCTCCATAGTTTTATTCCTATTTTCTCAAATTCCTTTAATATAGATGAAAATAATATGATACCAAAAAGTTGAAACACACTCATAAATAATACTTATTGACATCTAGAGATCACTGTATAGGACTATGAGAACTCCATCTCACTTAATAATGCAGTCCCCAATCTGTTCTTTGTCTCAATACAAAACAATGTATATTTAATCATAAAATATCTTTATATAGAAGACCACAGAAAATCCTTGTTCTTGACAATCCATTAGTTTTCATTAAGATAAACTGATATTTTTTCCTAGAAAATATGTCATTAATGTATATTAAATGGAGGGCATAAATGAAATGCAATACATTTAGGAAATCTGGCAAACATCAAGAATAATTGGAGGCCTCAAAATAAACCAAAAAAATTTTTAACTGAACACAAAGAATTAGATAGGTGATAAAACATCACAAATAACAAGCTAATTAAAACCACATTCAATCATGAAAAAAAACACTTCCACTAAATAAACACTAGATTTCATAATACACAGTTGATAATAACTAAAAAGAGCTAATAATTCAAGAACCCAACTTTGTAAAATATAAAATAGTCAACACTTTAGTATCCTCTGCCTCCTCCAGCTGTCAACAACTCAGGGAACATGCTGAATGGCTCCTGTGCTGAACACAACTCAACTCAAAGACTTTCTGCCATTAATTTACTGAAATATATCCAAAGACCTGCATTCCCTAAAACTAGGATGACCACAAATTTTAGCACACTTAAGGACAGTATTAGTTAATGCTTGCTGTCCTGGAATAATTATTAGTAGCACCTTCATTTACGACAAAAAGGTTCCTGAAATCCTAGGTCACTCCATCTATGATGCAGATCAAAGAACTATGTCCCAAAAAGAAGCCCACTCTAATGATGGCTCAAATAAATTAGAACTGTTTTGTCAAGAAATGATTTCTTTAAATTACAAAAATTTTAAAAACAAGAACCCAAGCACTATACACTTCTAAAGCCGGTACCTTTCTTACCACAGAACTTCAGTCTTTTTTTTTTTTTATATATTCAGTATCAAGGTCCTACAAACCTAAAGAAATCAACAAAATAGTAACACTTCCTTTTCCACTATTCTTAGAACATGTAAATGCCTTAAAACTAACAGCAAACCTAAAAGATCCAGATCCTCAAACAGGTAAGGTTCACTTACATAATGTAATTAAATGCCCATCTACTCCTTTTGGGAGCAAGATGGGTAAGGTGCTGGGAGCACAATGGGAAAGTGGGATGGGGTGGTTAATGTAAGAGACACTGACTCAACATCAGAGTTTGAAACCTGCTATCTACAGGATAGCAACTTGGAGAAGACAGCATCAGCAACTCTGACAGCTACTGTGTTATCTGCTTTGTGGATACTAACCAAATTCTTCTGAGTTGACTACTAAAGATCAAAAATGCCAATGATCAACGCTTTAAATGTGTAAGGGACCACTAAGTGGATATACATCTCAACTGCTCTGACCAGTAAATAAGGCTAAATACAAAGTACATATGTCACCCTTAAAGAAAGTATATTAAACCTGAAGTTGTCACCAACAACTTAGTTTAGTTAAAAACTAAACTGAAATTCTGCTTAAATTAACATACTTTTTATAACATATTAATAAATTAAAAAAGAACAAAGGGCCAAATGATCAAGGAATTTACAGTGATCTTAACTATAAACTAAAAAATGTATTTGTACTCTACTTTTAAAAATATACATTACCTTTTAATGTTTATTTATTTTTGAGAGACAAAGAAACAGAGTGCAAGCAGGGAAGGGGCAGAGAGAGAGGGAGACACAGAATCTGAAGCAGGCTCCAGGCTCCGAGCTGCCAGCACAGAGCCCGACGTGGGACTCGAACACATGAACTGTGAGATCATGACATGAGCTGAAGCCAGACGCTCAACTGACTGAGACACCCAGACGCCCCTCATAACATTTTTTAAATGTACTTTCCTTGAATAAGGGAGTGTCATCTTTAATCAATTTGTCAAAGTGAGGATTCAGCTTCATATAGCATTTTATCAATTTATTTGTAGTAAACTAACAAACTTTGTCTAAGTATAACACCACTGAATAATGCCCTAATTTCCAGGGCTCAGACAGTTAAGCAACTGACTCTTGATTTAGCTCAGGTCATGATCTCATGGTCTGGAGGACTCAGCCCCACTGCTTGGGATTCTCTCTTTCCCTCTCTTTCTGCCTCTCCTTTGCTCGCACGCACAGGCACATATTCTCTCTCTCTCTCTCAAAATAAATAAACATTTAAAATAAGAAGAATGCCCTAATTTCCTAACAGCAAGCTTCACGCTAAACTGAAGGTAAATATACAGAAAAAGGGTGTTAAGTAATTTTGTAACTTTATCTATAATGCTAGAAAGAAGCTAGTATGTCAAACATACTAAGGTATTTAAACAGGTTTATAAACTTCATCTATAGACAATACTGACCTGGAAATGGCAAGACACAGTTATCAACATGAATAAAGTACTATAAAAAAAGGGTGTTTTATATGTATTTATATATTATTTATATATATTTATAAATATATTTACATATATAAGATTTTCTCAATTGTTAAATATTACATATTATAGTTGTTATAATAAATAAACAAAAACTTTATACATAAAGTTATAATAAATAAGCAAACACTATATACCAGGTTTGGTTACTTTGAGGCTTCTTATTTTCTACAAAAGATGAGAAGCAGTATTAAACAGGTGAGTTGACAGAAAGTCACCTAACCACTCTGAAAGAACTTGGGGGTGTGCTTCTCAGGTTGTCCTTCTCAATAATGAAGATTTCTTGTAGCATCTGCAGATTAGTAGCACTACAAGAATGCATTTAAGCAGTAATAATCAGTGCTTCTCCAAAGCGTATTTTGCAGAACATCGATATTTATGAGAATTACATTACATTAAAAAACAAATTTTGGATTAACATATTTCCTTTATTCAGGACCATTAATATGCATATGTGCAATGTGTTTATTGGGAGACATAGTACTTGTAGTATTTTTCCAAATTCACTGGACCACATAACCCTTTCAACCCAATACACTTTGGGAAATACTGCCTTATAAAACAACTGTGTTTCAGTCCATCTTTTTAAAACAAGCACATTACTCAATTAAGGCCACCTCTAGATAGTATAGATGCAATTTTTTTATACATTTGAAGTGTATAAATTTGAAATACTGATATATTGAAATATTAAAAGTCTCATTTTATGTGCAAAACTGGAAAGGTGAATTCCGAACACTTAAAAATCCCCATCAGGGGCTCCTGGGTGGCTCAGTCGGTTAAGTATCAACTTTGGCTCAGGTCATGATCTCAGTCTGTGAGTTCAAGCTCCGTGTCAGGCTCTGCACTGACAGCTCAGAGCCTGGAGCCTGCTTCAGATTCTGTGTCTCCCTCTCTCTCTCTCTGTCCCTACTCTACTTGTGCTGTCTCTCTCTCTCTCTCTCTCTATCAAAAAAGTAAATAAATGTGAAGAAAATTAAAAAAAAAAATACCCATCAAGGAATCATGACAGCAAGGCTAGCAAGCCAACAGAGTCCATACATGACAACTGCAACTTACGTGATTCACTGGATACCTGCTGGGTACCCAGGGTCAGGGTTGGATTTTGCACATTTTAAGTTATCCTACATCTCCAAAAACATATCCCAATCATAAGATCCAATCACTACCATAAGAAATAAAAGGAGACACTCATCCTATGTGCTGCTAACATGATTTTAACATTAAACTTTTACCATCTAAAGAAGTGTCTTCAAATGACAATCAGGTTCCCATTCTAATCTTGGCCAAAAGAATGGTCTTACACAAAGTCTGACAAAACTAAAAATCATTGTTTTACCCCAGTGCCCAGACTGTGGTCTTCAAATACCATCTCCCACTGAAAAGTTTCAGAGCTTGTGAAAGAAGGGAATGATTCCAGGTCTGGGCCTGGAAATATCTTGCCATACTAGACATCAAGAAAATTCTCTGGGTGATGGGTATTAAGGAGGCACTTTTGTGATGAGCACTGGGTCTTATATGTAAGTAATGAATCACTAAATTCTACACCTAAAACCAGTTTTACCATATATGTTAACTTAGTAAATTTAAATAAAAACTTCCAATTAAAAGAAAAAAAAATTCCCAAAGACAACTATAGTAAAAGGACTCAGGAACAAACAAGAGGAGGCTCCTACATATGAGATTAATACTGATAGTAACTGCAAGGAGTTGAAACACAAACATGTTCAAGTCCATGAGTTTATAATAATGTGGTAAAGAGGGAGGGAAAAAGGGAGGGAAAGAAGGAGGAAGGGAGGCTGACTGATTGTAGTCACATCAGAGGGACGCTTGTGACCAACTCATTTTTTGAAAACCCAGAACTCAAGAGAAAGACAGGAAATTTCCCTTGCCTTTGCAAACTCTATAGCATTGAATAAATAACCAAATATTAGATGAGCCAAATTTCTGTCTACAAATGTAACTAATAAAATGAAGAATGACAAAATATCATTATGCAATCTTAAATAAATTAATATACTAAACTATAGCTTCTCAATTTTGATTTTATTGTTGTTTGGGGCCAGATAATTCCTTATGAGTGCAGTCTTAGGCACCACAGGAGCTGAGCAGCATCCCTGGCCTCTACCAACTAGATGCCTAGTTGAGAAAACCAAAAATGTCTCCAGATTGACAGATGTCCCCTCAAGGGCAATTATCCCTGGCTGAGAACCACTCACCCACACACTGCACACCAGTGGTTAGTGAACTTAACAAAAAACAACCCAACATTATATGCCTCCTTGAGAGAATGTATCAACACCCACAAAGCAGTCTTGCCTCTCCCCAGCCAGCAACAACAAATCAAAATCTGATCAAACCTCTAGATCTGATTTTAGGATATACGAAACAAGAAAAGTTAGACGACACCACAAAAAGATGCAATCAGCAAAATCTAGTCTATGGGGAAAAGTCTGTAAGACAAAGCCAGCTTCTTCAACAAACAATTTGCAAGAGAAAAACAGAGAGGGAATCTACAGATTAAAAGAGATTCAGGACCCATATCATCCAATAGCAGTATGTAGGTTTTATTTGAATCTCAACTGAAACAAACTGCAAAGCAAATGGCATCTGTGAGACAAATTTGAATGCTGCCTGAATAGTTTGACAATATTAAATGATACCTTAAGCTAATTTTAAAGGCTTGATGAATAGTACAGTCATTAAATTATTTTTCCTTTTTTTTAAAGTTACCTTTGAATGATATATACCAAAATAGTTGCAGACAAAATTATATTACGTATGGGTTTGTCTTAATACGTGAAATGAAAAGTGGTGAGGGTTAGATAAAAGAAGGTTAACAATAAACTGGTAACTTAAAGCTGGTCAGGGGTTAACGGGCTCACTGTACCTTTGTAACTGTTTGAAGTTTTTTCAAATAAAAGGTTTTAAAAAAATCATTACCTTTAACACTTACTCCTTACCATTTAAATAGGTGATAACTACACCACAAGCCCAAGTAGTTCTATTAGCAGAAATACATTCTGCAGCTAGTTCATCTAGGCTCAGAGGCAGATAGTGTCTGGAAGTACTTTGAAATTACTGAACAGACCTTAGGTTACTAATAATACCTGCTCTGAAAAGGTTCCAGGGCCAAACTATTTCTGTTCATGCTCTACGGTATGGGACTCCAGAAATTCCACTCAGTACTTACTCAAGCCCTTTAGCAGATCCAAAACCACTTTCTTGGATTACTAGTCTCCTCTATGGGGTACTTGAAACAGCTAGGCACTACTATCATAGCCATATCACTTCCATCAACTTCTGGTCTGGCTTTTTCCTCTTAATCAACAATATCAAGTACTTGCATTCCAGCCTTTTTCACAGTTAGCCTCTCAAACTGTCTGCTATACAGAGTATAACAGAAGTCCAGATAAAAAGCCAGTTCGTACTACGTTTATTAAGGAATTATAAAAGCTGACATACAATTCCAAGTGAAGAAATATCCAAGTGTGCTTTTCAAGTAAGTCAATCCTTATTCCATTCAGTTTTACTTTGGGGAACAGATCCGAAGGAAATAAAAACACTACATCAAAGAGATATTGGCATCCCCATGTTCACTGCAATATTATTTACAACAGTCAAAACATGAAAACAACCTAAATGGCTACTGGCTGATGAGTGAATAGAGCAGTTGTGATATATATGGGGGGAGAGGGAGGGAGAGGAATAAAATGGAATACCATTCAGTCACAAAAAAGGAAATCCTGCCATCTGTGACAGCACGGATGGACCCTGAGGGCACTGTACTAAGTGAAGTAAGTCAGAGAAAGACCAATATTGTCTGATCTCACTTATATGTGGTATCTAAAAAACAAAAACAAGGGGCGCCTGGGTGGCGCAGTCGGTTAAGCGTCCGACTTCAGCCAGGTCACGATCTCGCGGTCCGTGAGTTCGAGCCCCGCGTCAGGCTCTGGGCTGATGGCTCAGAGCCTGGAGCCTGTTTCCGATTCTGTGTCTCCCTCTCTCTCTGCCCCTCCCCCATTCATGCTCTGTCTCTCTCTGTCGCAAAAATAAATAAACGTTGAAAAAAAAATTAAAAAAAAAAAAAAAAAAAACCTATGGAAAAAGAGATCACATTTGTGGTTACCAGAGGCAGGGGGTAGGGAGATGGGGGATCTTGTTGAAGGTGGTCAAAAAGTATGATACTTCCAATTAAGAGACAAATTAAGTCCTGGGGATGTAATGCACAACATGATGACTATACCTAACGCAGGTGTATGGTATATTTGAAAGTTAAGACAGTAAATCCTAAGAGATCTCATCACAAGGAAAAAAACATTTTTTTTTCCTTTTTTGTATCTAAATGGCATAATGGATGTTAACTAAACTTATTACGGTAATCATTTCACAATATATGTATGTTAAGTCATTATGTTGTACACGTTGAACTTGTACAATACTATATGTCAACTATATCTCAATAAAACTGGGAAAAAAATAACATATTATTAGTCAACCCAGACAATGTGCTATTTACGTTTTCTCAGTTCCAATACTAAGAGCTATGCAAGCTATGAGCTTTCTAGCAGCATGGCAAAAGACAGAGTAGACTACAAATGGGAAGCATAAACATGCCACTGAACCCCCACTTTCCAGTAAGAATATATGCATTTACATTTTTTATTTTTGGCAAATACCTCAACATGCCTTTAAAAGGGCATTAAAAAACACAAATAATTTGACTGACACCTAGTTACCATTCAGGGACTCTTTCATTTCAGCTTATCCTAAAAGAGGTACCCAATAATTGAGCCCATGTATAAATCTAATCTGGGAATTTACTTTTCAATAGGGCAAATGGCTTCCAGATCAAGGCAACAGTCATGTCACACTGTAACCTAACTGTACTCAACATTTCTATTTACCCACATTATTTTATATATTAAGTCACCAAAAGAAAAAACTCACTCAACTCAACTTTGTCTAGTCCCTCCTACAAATCACAGAAAAAGACTAAAATCTGAATTTAAGAAGGGGAATAGGGAAACTGACCACAACTCATCCTATACGATCACAGACGACTTTCCAAACTACACACATGTATCTCTCAGTCCTCCAAACTGTATCTGCCTCACATCAACCCAAAAGCAACACAAAAATTACTTACTAAGAAATAAAATCATATGGATTTTGACCAAAATCAATAGTAAGTAAAATACCTGGCAATAGCCAAACTTGGGAATAAACTACTTGTTCATGTAAATTACATCTTTTATCCCCAGATTGCTGGTACACAGTTGTCAAAAAGGAGTTTATGTCTATTTAATTATATCTATGCATATATATGTCTCACTCTAAAGAACTTGAAGTGGCTTAAAAAGTGGCAAAAATTGGGGAGAATTAACTGATTCTTCTCCATCATGCAGATTGTTATCTAAAAGCATTTTTCTTCTTGAATGGACAAAATGTCTAAAATGAAAAAAGCGTCTCAAGTTTTTTAAAAACTTAATAAAGCACTGAATCTTATAAAGTAGAACAGCATCATTACACAACCCAAAAAGGCCAAAAACAGAAGCAAAATTCATCTCAAAGTAAACGAGAACTTAACAGCCTCCAATCTTCTTACATTTTCCTACTTACCAATTTATCATTTTCATTGGGCATTTCAAATACACATCTCAATTTAGAATCCATTAATTCATCAGGTTTTGCCTCTTTCCACTACAAACAAACAAAACCAAACATGAGACAGAGAAAGCATGACCATGACAAATAAGCTTCCCCTCAGGGACAACCGTAGCTGTCTGAAGCAGGGGTAGTCAGGAGGCACGGCTGCACCCTGATATTGATCACTCTGCCACTGTTATCAAGCAACGCCACAGAACTGTTTACAAAATCCTAAAGAAACCTACTATCGCCAGCATTCTTAGTAGTAGCATTTCTAAAGTGTTTTTAAGAAATAGTATTTCTACTATTTCAAAATTCTTTCATTTTTGAAATTATCTGTAATAAACAGATTTACAAGGTTTTTTTTATTTTAAAAATTAGCTTTCTCAACTGAGAACTATACAAATCCATGGTTTAAAAAACATTCCCCAAAATAAATTCAGTTTCACATCTATACTTACCACAGCTTCCATATCTGAAGTGTTTGGTGGAGCAAAAATTGTTTGTACCATAAACTTGTGTTTACTCTTCTCATTGGGATCATAGTCAAAAGGCTGTAGCATTACTAAATAAGAAGAAAGGACACATTACTTTGTGTATTCTGAATGTGTTTGCTTCTTATCACTCCTATTACCTCATTCACTAATATGCCAATTTAAAGAAAACCAGAAAGAGTTCAAGAAACCTAATACTGGATTATTTACAGTAAGGATCCAGTATCACCTTTATAGCTCCAACTATTTTAACAACCCACAAAATAAATAGCTATTTAAAAAATAAATATAAACCTATGATTGTCCCCTCTAACTTTAGGTTTGGGTAAATTTTCTAAATATTGCCGACATTAACTATGATAATACCTGTAAACTCAGATTAAAATCTAGTAAATTGTTTATTAAAACTAGGCATAAATATAAGGCTTCATTTTGGTATTTAGTGATAGTATCTTTTAGAATTAGCTAGGATATGCAAAGGAGAAATTAAAAGCTAACTTCAAAACTCCCAACCATTTGTTAGCATTCTCATAAAACTAATTTTTGAGGGGTGCCTGGGTGGCTCAGTTGGTTAAGCGGCTGATTTCAGCTGAGGTCATGATCTCATGATTCACGAGTTCAAGTTCAAGTCCCACACCGGGCTCTGTGCTGACAGCTCAGAGCCTGGAACCTGCTTCTCAGATTCTGTGTCACCCTCTCTCTCTGACTCTCCCCCGATTGCTCAGTCTCTCTCTCAAAAATAAATAAAAACATTAAAAAAAATTTTTAAACTAATTTTTGAAAAATAGATTTTAAATAAACACCTACTCAGGAAGTCTATCAATCTGTTTATATCTGATTCTAAAAAACAAGGTATACAAGGAAAAGGTATATACTCTCACGATTTCAAGAATTTTTCTTAAGTCCTAATTACAAATTCAAATATTTCTAAGCACTTAAGCTTTTCAGTAGCCTTTTAAAGGATTTTTAGAGGTTCCATATGATTATAACTGATGCCAAATTATGTAATATAAACTTAATAAATGGCTATAAGAATGGATCTACAGTTACACAAAATATGTATATGGTATTGTATAAAGTATTCCCCTGTTAACAGGTAAATTACTTCTAAGATATACCTTCTATATATGTGTGTCAACACTTTCAAAAAAAAAACAAATGCAATTAAACAATGGTGAGAAATACCAATCATATAAGAAAATCTTATTTCTAAGGTGTATCTAAGAAGTCCATTAACTCCCATCATGGTTAAAAAAAAATCTTTAAAGGGCCAAATACATAGCAGAAAAAAAACGCACAGGATGTCTCAGAATCCAGATAAAGCACAATGAATGTCCATTAATACCCTTCACTGAGCAATCACTATAGGCTCATCACTAGGAACTGAAAAAACATGGTTGTGACTTAATGACAGTTATAGTCCAAGTTATTGCAGACCATATAGTAAGAGTTACATCATCCTAAAAATATAAATATATACACATATACACACATACATACATGAATACATCAATTGAAAGAAAAAAAGAAATGAGTGTGTAGCACAGTCAGTCAATCAAGGAACAGTTGCCAGTGGAAGAACAGTTTGAGTGACTCCTTAAGGGAAGGCAATACACTAAAAATTGAAGACCTAAATTCTCAGTGGACAAGATCTAAAGGCACACCACGGAAACAGTAACTAGTATGTCTAGAGTTTTTAATACAACAAGTGCCCAACACAAGGGGCTACGTGAGAGAAAGTGTTTTGAAAAGTACAGGCTGTTCCCTGAACGACACAGGGACTCAGAATGCCAACCCCCCATACGGCTGAAAATCCACATCCAACTTTTGGCTCCCCAAAAACTTAACTACTAATAGTCTACTGTTGACCAGAAGCCTTGCCAAGAACATAAACCATGGATTAACGTTTATTTTGTATGCCGTATGTATTATGTACTGTATTCTTACAATAAAGTAAGCTAGAGAAAAGAAAATATTATCAAGAAAATCAAAAAGAAGAGAAAATGTATTTATTTGTTTTAAAATTTTTTTTTCAACGTTTTTATTTATTTTTTTTGGGACAGAGAGAGACAGAGCATGAACGGGGGAGGGGCAGAGAGAGAGGGAGACACAGAATCGGAAACAGGCTCCAGGCTCCGAGCCATCAGCCCAGAGCCTGATGCGGGGCTCGAACTCCCGGACCGCAAGATCGTGACCTGGCTGAAGTCGGACGCTTAACCGACTGCGCCACCCAGGCGCCCCAAGAGAAAATGTATTTATAGTACTATACTGTCTTTACAGGGAAAAACCCACATGTAATTGGGCCTGCGCAACTCAAACTTTTCTTTAGAAACATTAATACAATGAACTTTAGCAATCTAGAACCCTCAAAGAAAAAGTCATTCTGAATAGTTTTATGGATTCCTAAGGATAAAACTGGTAGCACCAAAAAACTATTTTAAACTACATGGAGAGAAACAATTCTGTCTTCCAATTTATCTAAAAGGCTTAAAAATTTAGAGAGCAACTTCCAAAATGAATGTAGTCATTGTTTTATCTTCTTTTCCATCTATCTTTCCCATCAGCTGACAACTTGGACAAACACCAACACATTCCTCCTTGGCTACCACATCATAAGATTCACTAAAAACATCTTTTCTAGAAGGACTCCTAGCTCTGAGTCTTTGAGTCTACATACTGAAACAGGATTCAGTGTCAGAAAGAACTCGGCAGTGTGTCCTTCACTGCCTTTGCAGTCAAGTTCTACTTCTAAGCACT